CGAGAAATCACCCCCCAGGGGGGATGGCCACGCCGCAATCCCTTCTCCTCCATTCTCCTCTCGGGATCTTGGGCACGCACGCACACACGCCCGGCCTGAGTTTAAATCACCAGGTCTGGGACTTGAACCGCAGTGACACAGCCGTTATGCCAACTACTGGAACCTCCCGTTGTTATTCTAAGGAGCCACATGTGTTCAGTGCTGCCCATGCTAGGATGGCGTGAGTCTGCCATCTCTGTTTTTAAAGATTTTTCTCCTGCGGGGTGCATGCACTTGCTGGAGAGAGAGAAGCAGACAGACAGAGAGGGGAAGTGAGAAGTCACCCCCTGGGCGATGGCCACACCGCAGTCCCTTCTCCATTCTTCTCCTGGGATCTTGGGTACACACGCTATACGCGTGCACGCATGTCCAGTGAGATCTTCAAGCCACCGGCTCTGGGACGTGAACCGTGGTTGACCATATGAGAAGTCAGTGTTACAACCACTGTGCCATCTGCTGGGCCCCCCCTCTTTTATTTTAAAGTTTTAAATTTTTAAATTTTTTTGCCAGAGAGCATGCATGCTTGACGGAGAGGGAGAAAGGGCCCCCCGCGGGCGTGGTTGTGCCGTCGTGCCTTCTCCGATTCTCCATCCTGCTGAGTCTGGCTGGCTTTTCAAGCTGCTGAGGCCGTGACTTCAACCAAGCGGTTGGCCACATAGGGTCTGGTTCCCTTAACCGACAGGCACGGGGCTGGCCTTTAAAGTTTTATTTCTTTGGCGAGAAAGAAAAGCCAGAGTCCGATGGCACCTCAATAGCATCTTCACGCCTCAGGCCCCCACTCCTCCTCAGGCAGCCTGGATCATGGGCACGCGCTGCCCATTCCTGGGGCCAGGGAGGCTCCAGGACTCAGACCAAGGATCTCCCCTGGTGGGACCAGTCCCAAGTTCTGGCCCTTTCTCCTGTCTCCTAGGAAGATAAGCAGTCATATAAATAAAATATTTCAGGGGCCGGGAACCAGCAGTTAGCGTCATGACTATGTCGCTGGACTCCCACGGAGTCGACTGCGGTTCGCGTCCCGAACCTGGTGGCTTAAAATTCACGCCGGGCGCATGTGCGTGCATGCCCAAGGTCCCAAGAGGAGAATGGAGGAGAAGGGATTGTGGTGTGGCCATCCCCCCTGGGGGGTGATTTCTCGCTTTCTGTCTCTCTGTCTCTCTCTCTCTGTCTGGCGAGTGCACGCGCCCTATAGCGAAAACCTCTCGAAAAAAAAAAAAACTGTCAGGGGCCATCATCATCTCCACTTTCGGGATTTGGGGCACGTGTGCACACGCACCTGGTGTGTTTCTCAAGCCACTGGTTCAATTGGTCTGGGGCTTAAGACACACAGCCAGCCAGGCGGGATCCCCATAATGACCACGCCATGGACTGGCCTACCCCCCTTTTTTTTTTAGTGACCCAAAGCCCATGGCAGTGCATCTTCAGTAGGGCTTGGTCCCTGTTACATGCCCCGCAGGCTCCTGGGTGCTCACACACACATGCACACCCCCAGCGCACTTTCAGACTGACTGGGAGCCGGCGTGACGTCCTGGCTGGGCCTCTGTGACTCGTGTCTGTCTTCACTGTAGACCGTCGGCTTCCCAGGGCAGGGGTTTCCTCGGGATTATTCCCATCGTGTTGTACGCCACACACGGGCCAGCAGGTGGCATAATGGTTAAGGCACTGGACACCTGCGTGGTTGACCACGGTTCGAGTCCCAGACCTGGCAGCTGGAACTCATGTGGGGCATGTGCCTGGGTACTCAAAATCCTCGGAGGAGAGTGGAGGAAAAGGGATGGTGGCATGGCCATCCCCCGCGGGGGGTGATTTCTCAGTTCTCTCTGTCCCTCTGTGGCAAGTGCACACACCTTATAGCAAAAATCTCTGTTAAAAAAATGAATGGAATTTGAATGCTCTGTGCACGTGGGCGTGCGTGTAAGGTTTTTTTCCCCTAAATGTTTCAACCTGACCTTGGCCTTGGTATATCTCTAGGAGGCTCCGCTGGGTTGGCTTTAAGGAGCCCTGGGCAGGGGGAGGTCGGGAGAGTGTCGGGGACTTGAACTGGTGTGCTGACCCTCCTCTTGCCTCTATGGCTTTCTCATTGCAGGTGATGGCGGTTTCTGCCAGATCTTATATGACCACACAGCCTCCCCTCCAGCACCTCCCAGCCCCCCTGGGCCCCAGAGCCCAGAGATGCCCCCTGCCCTCCCCAGCTTCTGCCCGGAGGCGGCCCCAGCCCGGCCCTCTGGGGCCCCTGAGCCCTCGCCCGCCATCGCCAAAGCCAAGGAGTTTGTGGCCGACATTTTCCGCAGGGCCAAAGAGGCCAAGGGGGGCACGTCCGAGGAGGCCCGGCCGCCCCCCTGCCCAGGGCCCACAGGCAGCCGCTGCCGCCCACCCTCAGAGCTCCCAGCCCCGTGCGGGGAGGCCGTGCCCCGGGACAGCCCCCCTGCGGCAGAGACACCAGCCCCCGAGCCTGAGCCCGGATACGTCAACTACACCAAGCTGTGCTACATGCTGGAGGCCGGGGAGGGGGCTGAGCCGGATGACGGTGAGCGGGGAGCCCCCCCGCAGGCAGGTCGGGGCCAGGTGGGGTGGCCGGCCCGCCCCCCCTCACTCCCTGCCTCCCCAGAGTTCGAGGATGACAAGATCTCCCTGCCCTTCGTGGTGACGGATCTCCGTGGCCGCAACCTGCGGCCCATGCGGGAGCGGGCGGCCGTCCAGGTCAGTGCTGCGGGGCAGGCCTCGGCCCCCACGGCCTGCAGGGATGCGGGGTGCGGGTGGCTGACCTCCCGCCCCTGCCCGGGTGCCCCAGGGTCAGTGCCTGACGGTGGAGCAGGTCACGCTGGACTTCGAGTACGGCATCAACGCACGACGCCACCTGGGGCCACCAGTTCTGCTCGTTCAGCGACTACGACATTGTCATCCTGGAGGTGGGCTCGGGTGGGCGGTGTGGGCCCGGGCCTCCCGGCGCTGGGGTCCCCTCCACCAGCTAGCGCCGCCCCCTCGCCACCCTCCAGGTCTGCCCGGAGACCAACCAGGTCCTCATCAACATTGGCCTGCTGCTGCTGGCGTTCCCGTCACCCACCGAGGAGGGTCAGCTCCGGTGAGTGGGGCGGGGACCTCACCCCCTGGCCCGGGAGGGTCTGCATTGAGACCTGGAGCCCGGGGCCAGCAGATGGCATAATGGTTACATCGCTGGACTCTCACGTAGCCAACCGCGGTTCAAGTCCTGGACCCACCAGCTTAAAACTCACGCCGGGCGTGTGTGCGTGCGTGCCCAAGATCCTGAGAAGGGATTGCGGCGTGGCCATCCCCCCTGGGGGGTGATTTCTCGCTTTCTGTCTCTCTGTCTCTG